ACTTTCTATGATGCACGCCATGTTATAACGTTTAGAGCAACTTGAAGGATACTCAAAGGATGAAAGTGGTGCTGAGAACATTGTTTTTTAAATTTTATTCGGAAAATCCAATTGCTCAATCAAATCAGCCAATAACGTCAATAACATTTTAGAGAAAATGAAAGGAATACAGGCCTATCATGATTTTGAAAACGGGGTATGGGGATTTTTTTTCTCCAAATGAGTTATGATGCACAAAATTTCCCCTTTTGAAAACAAAATGTTGGATATATCAGAAATACATGTAGGTCTGGGCGAGTCCCGTTCCACATCATAAATATTCTAAGATCTTAACCATGATTATAACGCAAAGAAGTTGAATTTTGCATAAAATGATGGATAAATGTAGCATATGCATGTGTTTTGGGGGTAAGTGTGGAAGAAATCTCAGAATTATTAAGTCCCTAGATTTGGTAAAGTGTACATCCTGGCACATCCTTGATGGGTTTAAGAACGAGTCAATCCACCACCACCACCCCAATTCGAAAGAAAAATTTAGATTAAAAAATACCAAGATGGATTTAGAATGCAAAGTAGTTCTGAATTTTGAAATAAGGCATAAGACATGAAGACAATTATTATGGAAATAGGTGTGGGACGAACGCTAGAGAATTGAATCACCATGTATGATGCACTATTTTTATTTATTTTTAAAGATAAAGAATGCATTTGTGTAAAATTAGGAAATGACTTAGTTATTCATACAAATAAATCCCTAGAATTTGAATCTCCTGACCAGATTAAAGAAAGGGACTTTCTTTGTGTCAGCGATATGCGCTATAAAAGTAACGTTCATTATTATTATTATTATTTATGAAACAAATAAATATCGATGCAATAAACTGTATTTTAATGGTTGCGGGAATGGTTGTAAGATAAGAAATGTTTTTTACCAACTTAGAAATTATTTAGTTTGATTTGAAAGAAGACTATACATCACTATACACAAAAACATTTTTAAAGAAGCAAAAGCATAGAGATGAGTCTTCAGGAGCAAATCTGATATGTAAAAACTATTCGTTCATTCAATAATGGAAAAGAAAACACCTTTTTGGCTCAGATGTGATATCCACATAATTATATTGAAAATAATCTATACCTCATTAACGCTCCAGCATTCTGCATGACCTTCTAAAAAATACTTGAGGATTCACGAGACCAGCATGTCAGTTTTATTGGCGTTCTGAAAATTTGTACGAGGGTCCCCTCGCCCTCATCTGATTTTTTTTTTCTTCTCGCATTTCTTTGAAATGCAAGAAGCTTTCATCATGGGAGGGGGGCACCGGACCCACCCTCTCCTACCACTGCCTGTCATAGAATTATTCTTGGTATGATGTCAAGTAGAAATTCTAAAATAAAATAATGACAGGGAAAGTATATACATTTTTTAAAGTTTTATTATTCCATAGTATCTGTCAATATACATCACATTTCATTTGATATCATCACATAGTTGGACGAGTTCAAGAGATATATCATAATATCAATTCTCTCCCAAAGTACACCTACTTATTTATATCTATTTCTACATCATTCTATTTTCTCCCAGCCCTTAATAACTATCTGTGCCTCAGTATAGTAAACTAGATTGATGGCACATTATAAATGCGATATGTAGTATCATCAACTCGATTGAGCATGGAAGACTACTTTGTTCCGCTTTCTGTATAAGTCTGAATCCCACATGGATACACTTATTACATTTTATACATCTACAGTTTTTCGCTAGCACATCCAGTACAACACATATTTCTTCGAGAGTTTATTGCATATACATGTAATGATGGGTTAATGCAAATGCGGAAAGCATTTTCTTTTTTTTTTCTTTTTTTAACACACGCTTTGTTTCAACGTCCAATCGTAAATCTTAGATAAAGCAAAAGAAGATAAATGTTGCTAAAAAATGGGTACCTGGCAGGAATTAATTCCTTGAAATGCTAGAGCAACCGTAATGGCAGCACAGCTAAAGCCGGGGTAATAATTTCCAAATTTGGTAAGAAGCGCATAGAGACATTTGTATGCGATTTGCGCTATACAAGAACCAAAAATTATTATTATTATTATTATTATTAATTGATATATTTCATTTTTGTTTACTTTCACCCAAAGTGAAGGGCATTTTGCTTACATAATTCAGAAATGAGAATGAATACATTCATGTAAACCACACTTGATAAGAAATGGATTTTGGGGCCACGTTATGACTGCTCTCAGTCTGCACCTTTGTTATCACAAAAGATACTGTTAACAAAAAAGATGAGTCTTTATGCTTTCTTTGTTATATGTACCTGCAATGAACATTTGTACAGGTGCATTACATGAAGGTTAAATGAAAACTCTTGTGGGCAAAATTTGTTGCTTTGTGAAAAGATTCACAAACTGAGTACACACATGCATGCACACCAAGTCTTCAACATACTCCAGTTTTTGTCTGAAACATTGCAAGCTATGATAGAAAAATATAAATGATGTTTCATGTAAAACATAGAATCTTGGTTAACAACATATCACCTGATGAAAAACATAAGCTAAAATACAACTGTGTACATGTTCCAGTCTGTGTACATGTGCAATATGTAAGTATGGTAGATTTGGCATGTTGTAGATTTGGATACAACTACAGAATTACATTCAACCGTTGATATGCTTTTGTAATAATGTAGTATTTAGACAGTTTTAGTACCATATCAGCTTTGCTGGTCACAATGATTAGTGGTATACAATCTTTTGTATAACAGCACGTCCCAGAGCCAATTGCTTCCGACTAATATATTATACCAATCAAATTCTTACCTCCAACCCTATACCAAACACTCAACCTTAACCTAACCTTAATCCAATAATACACTTAAGATACAACCCTATTGAAACCCAAACCCCAATACTGTTCATGAAACAAAGAATGGAGCAATTGTTGCTGGAGCATCTGATGTATCATAAAATAACGAAATCATTCAGGAAAGGTCTCTTTCTACAAATATTTTTAAAAAAGGTAATATATTAGAAGGTCCAAACAAAATAAATATTCATTTACATCATAGACATGTAATATTTCAATAGTTATTCAGCATTTTGATATGAATTGTGCATAAAACCTGAAAGAGAAAAAAAAAATATCAAGTCTAAGTAACATGTCGCTCAGTCTGTCAGAGTTTATTACAGTCTGAGAGAAGTTCAAGCAACAGCTACTCACTCTCATTTATATAAAGCTATCAATAATTTTTTATTTTGAAGAGTTTTCCCCTTGATGCTCTATAACTCAAATATTTTCTTGTCTATTTCTTTGTTTTGCATTTTACAAAATAACCCAATCAGAATGGATTTACATTTAAAAACAACAAGATAGCATGAACACAAATAAAAATGATACTGGTATATCGCTACTGACAAAGCAGGGGATCTCCATCATAGTGTATATTTCTTTGTGCAATTACCCCTTTCATTCATTTCAAACATAGAAAACATATGATGAGGCCAGATTTCCATTTTAAATCCAAATAAGAAATGGCAGCTATAATAACTTCATTCAACAAATTGATTATTATCGAAAATATTGGTTGTCAGCCACATGAACAAATCTTCATTTAATAAAAAACCAAGTATTACTGCAAGGTGAATACATTGTTTATACTTGCACATTACACCCAAAAACATGCTCTTCATGTTTATCATTGTCGCTTGCAAAAGTATTAAAAAATTAGAGGATAAATGATTCACTGTGGAAGTATTCTTTTCTGTATTCACATTTTCACATTTGAAAATGAATGATACAAGAATACCAAGCTATCTTAAAGCCCCACTGCATTACTTATAGCTACTTGCGCCTTCTATACAGCCAACATTGCCTAAGCGGTACCCATTGATCCCTCATGATGCCCTTTTTTATGTTAATTGAGAGCTGATTTGATGAAATAACCACCTGCCAGTGACCTCGCAAGGAGGTCTGATCCCTCCATGCCAAACTAGTGCAGAGGGGCTTTAACAATAGTTTGTATTGCAGGGTCCACTGTATTTGCCATTCAAACATATGTTCTAGCAAGAAACAGTATTTCAGAAAAGCTTTACATGATAACATCAATACCTTGAGCTTCTGTGTGCAGTGCAAATGGCAAAAAAAAATAATAATAATGATTATTAGGATGGTCCAATGATATTTAATATTTACCTTTTTAGGTTATAAGATTTTTTTTTTAATTATTATTATTTATTATTATCATTATTATTATTACTTATAATGCGCTTTTCCCATAAGACCTAAAGCATCATAAGCTGGATTAAGATAAGAGGTCTTTACACAACCATTATTTCAACTCTAGTTCCACAAACATGAAAATGCACATTCATACATGTAGGCATACAAGTAAAAACACAAAATGAATACAGCACACTTTACATCGATTCAGAAGAAAACAAAGTAAAAGCTAAATAGTTGTAAAATCACATTATCTACTTGATTGTGCATTACTTCTACCCCACTCCCTCTAAGCAAATCCATAACTTTAATTTGTAGTTAAATTTGAAACTCTGCTCCAAATAAACCACCAACTTTCTTCAGCTTTCAGTAGATTTAATTGTTATACTGTACTGTCATAGAATTTCTCATGAACTATCAAAGATTACTTGCAAGCACTTAATGCGTACCTACAACTACCTGCCAACATTTGAAAAAAAGAATTAGGAATTTTTAGCACGGTATGCCTTCGAAACTAAGAAATCGCACTTGCAGCGGCAGTGTAACTGGTGTAACCTGTACCAAAAAGCGAATACAGATTCCCTGCTCGATCATGCAGCCATTCAACGCACGCAATATGTGAACTGTCAAATCACGGCACATGATAAAACAAGCTGAATTTGGCTTTAGCACAAAAAACAAACAACAACAAACAACAAAAGATCAGAATTTAAAAAAATCTGAATATTCTGAATTTTCAGGTCCTAAAAATCCAGAAAATCAGAATATTCCGGATTATTCAGAAGGGTTGGCAGGTATGTAAAATGGTTTGCAGCATCTCATAATAACTTGAATGATTACATGATGTGATGTTCCCCTCTTGATATGCTCTCATGGAAACCTGCAGGATGTATTTCATATCAAAATTCAGGGTGATGGTAAAGGAAAGTCTCTCGCAAATTTTAAACTATCGCATACCACAGTAATACAATGCAGTTTGAAAGCCCATGAGGCACTATCTCACAAAGCATTGCAGTTATTGGTTTGTGGTGATGTCAATAAATATCAATGTTTGATGTGATTATTCAAGCTCCAGTATAATATCTTCTTCGGCTATGCTGTCACCTTCAACAAAATGAACGGCTTTGACCTGTGATAACAGAGAGAGAGACACACACAGACAGAGAGAGAGAGACACACACACAGACAGAGAGAGAGAGAGAGAGAGAGAAGGGGGAGCATACAGACACACAGAGGGGCAAAGAGAGAGAGAGAGAGAGAGAGAGAGAGAGAGAGACAAAAAAAGGAGGGAGAGGAGTTAGAAAATAATGCCAATAATATGACAGAACACATTAAGCACACTTAAATGCATTTTACAATGAAAAGGAATCTATACAAGATTACTACTATGGTTTTCCAAGTCACTTGCACATTTCTTGTAACATTCTGCTCTGGTAAAGTATGCAAACCTGTAATCCGGTATAACATAATGTGACAATGCATAATAAACAAAACTATGATACAATCAAGTACTTTCACTTCTACTTTTACTTTCACTTCAATAATTCAACATAAATTTAGGTTTGTATTGAGCATATTTGGTCTGTATCTAGATTTTCTGTCAAGATGGACAGTCATAAGCAAGCGCGTAGCCAGGATTTCATTTTAGGGGGGGCGGTAGTGAGCACGCGAAGCGTGCGAATCGCTTAAAGAGCGCGCGAAGCGCGCTCCCTAGGGGGGTGGGTGCAGGGAGGGGGGAGTTTCCCCCCTCCCGCGCGAAGCGCGGAAGCTTTGAAAGAAGACGATTCATTGTACCTTTCTCGACTCATAATCCTTGTCTAAATTCAGTCCCTCCCCTCTCTCGCGCGAAGCTTTGACGTTTCATTAAATTATTAGAGAAAGAAGACGATTTGTTGTACCTCTCTCGACTCTTAATCCTTATCTGTATTCAGTCCCTCCCCTCTCTCACGCGAAGCTTTGACGTTTCATTAAATTATTAGAGAAAGAAGACGATTCGTTGTACCTTTCTCGACTCTTAATCCTTGTCTGAATTCTGTTCCCCCCCCCCCCCCCCCCTCTCTCGCGCGAAGCTCTGACGTTTCATTAAATTATTAGAGAAAGAAGACGATTCGTTGTACCTTTCCCGACTCATATTTCTTAATTTGAACTCAGTTTCCCCCTTCCCGCGCGAAGCGCGGAAGCTTCGAAGATTCATTGTACCGTTCTCGACTCCTTTTCCCTTTTTCTTCCTACGTCCTCTTTCTTTTTTTTCTTCTCTTTCTCTCTCTTTTTTTTTTTTTGGCCGGCGTTTTGGGGGGGGCGACCGCCCCCACCGCCCCCCCCTGGCTACGCGCCTGGTCATAAGCCTATCTTTAATAAACTTTCCTACATACATACAACCGTATTAATTTTCTCACATCAGTCCCATATATGCAATTCCATGTTACCTTTCCATCTCTAGATGAGAATAGACTGTTATGCATCTTCATGGCTTCTACAACACACACCTCCTGGCCCTCACCAACCTGATGATGGAAAACAGAAAAAAGTGAAGTCATGAATATCACCAAAAAACTTCTTGTTCATCCTTCTTATCTTAGTAAATATTTTAAGATTAACCAATTGCCAATTTTTAAACAATTTCTGCAAAAGTTGACTTACAATATGAATTTTAGTTTTGTATATGTTTATATCTCTCTATACCTGGTATTCTAAATTTGTTTGTAAGTTGGACATTTTCAGCCTGCGAGCTGCTTGTTTGATGTGTTTTGGCAATACAGCACACAAATTCAATTCAATTCAATTCAATTGCCAACTAGAATTGGTTACTTTGTATTATATATGTACCAATGGAGAATATGAAAATTAAAAAGTCAACAGAACAATCTTATTCTTTTTTCATTGATTATGTATTCAATATTTTGTTCACACTCATTATTATCTGAGGGGTCCACAATTTACAAGCTTTGCTTTTCAGTGGACCTCTCCATTTCCTCAAAATATAAATGCAATTAAATTCATTTTTTTGTCTTCCTAAAATGTATAAATTATTATTAAGATTTTTTTATTACCAATGTAACTATGTTTTGTATACATTTTACATTGTATTCGTTATTATGTATTGTATTTTGTTGGAAATGAAAAAATAAAAATGAATGAAAATGAAATAGTAACATAATTTTCTTTTCATTTTACTGCTATATGCTTTCAATAGGTATTCATTTGGAATGAATTATTATTGCAGCAGTTACAATTGTACATATTGTATTGCATTGTATCCTATTTCACCATATTGTATTGTATCTGTATCTTTTTATGTTTGGGGTTGCTTGTTTACAAGGTTTTTAATTATTTTAGCAATCCCGGTATTTGTAAAGATTTTATTTTTATTTTTATCTTTTGCCAAATAAATGTGCGAATTGAATATGTGCACTGTACTACTGATTTGGAAGAGAGATGCGTGTGATGAGTCTACAACTTCCTTGAAATGTACTGTTAACAGAAATTAGGAAACAACAGACATGTATTATGTATTATAAGCAATACTAAAGTAGCAAATGAAAGGAATACAGATTAAAGAATGGGAAAATCGAGAATTGCAGATCATATAAAATACAGATGAAAGACAGAGAGGAGAGAGTAAGAGAGAGTAAGAGAGAGAGAGAGAGAGAGAGAAAGACAGAGACATACAGACAGAAAGACAGACAGACTACACACAGATAGAGAGACAGACTTACAAGAGGCTTTACAAGAAAATAAAAATGTCTGGGAATTACTTTGTAGGCTTTGTTATTCCCACCACATCATGACTTGACATGAGTAGTACATGTTTCTTTTTAATCTTTGTTTTATATATATATATATATATATATATGCGCATGTTGATTTTATTTTTTTATTTTTTAACTAAATGTGGAAATAAATTTGAATTGAATTGAAAAAGAATATTAAAAGGACCTCGATAAAGTCTCGTTGTTTGATCGTCCAACCTAAAGAAAAAAAATCAAAAACACAACTCATTACAATCAAATTTTCAAGAGACTACATAGTACTTACAACGTCTCCAACTTGTACAGCAAGCGTATGGAGCTTGCCAGGCATAGGGGAGACAACTTCCTTACTCAGATCAGGCTTAACCTTCTCAGGCATTAATGCCTGGAGATTAGCTGCCTCTTGCTGCATTACTGTGAGTGTAAACTGAAAAGTGAAACAAAGATCTTTGTTTAAAGAGAGAATAATTGATTCACTTTAACTGTTAGAGTCAAGCCAATTCAAAAAGAGCATGCACAAACCCATGCACATTGACAAGGCACATTTCAACATTTCAAAAGACGAAGAAAATCATTGACTGAATCACTTATCATTTCAAACATCTAAGCTATGATAATAGCTCAAGATTTATTTCGCTTGATGTGCAAACAAATAAAATTCTTTAGTTTTACACCACATAGTACCATTTTTAATTCATATCTTGCAGAATTTTGGCAAAACAATATTTTGTTTAATTTGTTTGAACAATACTAGCCAAGTCTACCAAAAAGGTATGTATCAACAATAGTCATTTTAAATATGCATCAACACATTCAGGACAATTGTTAATAAAATACAGATAGAAAGAAACAAACAGACCAATACGCATTAGAGACAATATTTATTTCATGATGACATGCATTGGAATGAAATTAAAACAATTATGTTCTGTACTTACAATTGTGCCTTTGTACTGAAGTTGAATGTTGCCTGCAGTATCACATGAAATAACCTGGAAAAGAAAGTAAAAATTAAAGATATGGATCTCTTGAATGATTCAACTGATTTTTTATTAGACAACTACAGTGTATGCATTTGAAACTTTGCAACTTTTCCTCCTTTACAATAATGTCTTCTTTTTTTCTTCTTGGTAAATAAATGTGATTCTAAACAATTCTACACCACTATTTTAATAGGAAGGTTGTAAAAACAACACCATTAACAATAAGGAGTGAGCATGCTAATCAGGCATGTCTATGGGGATGTGATTATGGGATGTAAGTGCCATACTTTGCATCCACCCCCCCCCCCCAACCCCGCCCCCAACCTGTTAATACCTATGTCACATCTCAATTACTACAGCCTCAAAAGGTTGAACTAAACATGCTCTGTTGTAAATTCTTGAGTGGTCCATTTCATAAGCTAACCAAATAACTGAATCCTGATTCAATCTGTTTTAGAAAGCGCAAAAAAAGTCAGGACTCAGGGTAAACATTTATATTTTCTGCAGTGATTGTGGCATTTCTTTTGACGTGTGGGAGAATGAATTTCTGACCGTAAGAAATCATCATGTTATGATACTATCATAACATATCTTCGCCTGGGTGGCAGAAGGGCATTAGCTCGAATTTCAGGTCAAAAATGAAGCATTAAGCAGAAGGGCGTTAGCACTAAATCACCTCAAACTTTTATAAAACTGAAAAAAATTGTGGCCGTGTTCTTCTTTAACATTTCTATTAGTCTTTTAAGTTTTAAACCAATTTTGGGGGCGAAAAGCAGTTTAAATATAAAACAAATCTTTGAATGCGGATAATTCGAAAAGTAGTTTTCGAGTCGCTCCCGCGCTAGCGCCCTTCTGCCAGCTGGCCGACGATATATCCCCTCAAACACACATTTGGAGCAGTGTTTCATATCCAAGAGTTCAAGGTTTGATTGTTACCTGTAAACAGAGTGTTGTATCATTGACTGTAGGTGTGATGACATCTTGAGCAGTGGACCATGAAATATCCACATCCAGGGACTGGCCATCTATCAGCACCTAAGAGATTGTAAAGCATAGGATAGACAGTAAGCAATACATAGGATAATACTGTAAGATTGTATATTGCAACAAAAACTAATATGTCTCTCCTATCCACATGAACCTCCCCCCCCCCCCCCCCCCCCCCCCATTCACAAAGGAGGTTTAAATCTTCATTTACATAACCTATGGTCTAAAATTAGCCCAAAATAAGGGCGACACAGTCAGAGGTCCAATATTAGAGGTCCACAAGGCAAGGTACATGTACGCTTATTTTTAAACCACCATTTATGTGAATGAGGGTTTAAACCATTGGTTAAGTTAAACCTCCTTTGCGCATTCGGGCCATCTCTTCAAGTGGGGGCACCAATGTGAATATAAACACAGAAATTGAGATATGTTGTCATTGTCTAAACCCCTTTCGACTTTTCTTTCCAATCCACCCTTTTCTTCTGTGTATTAGGGTACATGTCCTCTTTGAATTCACCATGCCTAACATTTGTTCACAGTGTTAGTGAATCTATCTATTACCTTGCCTCCATTGTCTCCCATCTGCACTACTATATCCTGTCTATGACCATCAATGAAGATACTCAACTGAGATTGATCCCAGGATATTGGTGTTGGTGGAACTCTGAATAAAGACAAAGAAAAGTAGCAAATATGACACTGTGTCCACTGTTTTTATCAGTATAACCCAGGGGCGGATCCAGGAGGGAGGGGGGGGGTCCTCCCCTGGCCCCAAAATAGATGGTAACATTAATTTTACCTTTTTCTTAATTAAAAAAAAAATCAAAAAAGATGCCTCTCCCCACCCAAGCAATTTTCTTTTCTTTTTTTGCTCGGGGGGGGGGGGGGGGTGTTGAGTAAAAACCACAACAAAAACAAAAAAAAAAAATTAAAAGAAATTTTTTTAAAAATAGTAGGATAGACTGTAATCAATGCATCCCCACTACCATTATCAATGCACACTCAATACTTTCTGATACAAAGTCCAAAGCATATTCTCTGAATGTCCAGTAAATTTAGAGAAATATTTTGTTTTATTGCCACTGACCTAGTTTGGTTGGTGAATTGTTGAGCTTTGAGTTCACTGAGTATATACAAACATCCAGCGACAGCTTTGAGATTGGTCTCTTCTCTTTGGTCTAGCTTCCATCCTGAGAGATATATAATAGAAATGAAAAAGAAAATTGAAAATGAGTGAAATGGAATGACAAAGTTTCCAGAAAAAAGCCTCTGGGCTTTCTTACTTTCAAATATCAATGGCTTTGTTAACTGTTACAATGTCATCAACTCCAACTTTACAAATATGTATCAAAGATATGAGATATAATTTCAAAAATGTTCCACATTCATCAACACACTTCATGAATGTGCAATTAATATGAAGAATGAAGAGCTTCTTTTATTAGAAAAACGGTTTGGACAGTACGAGATTCTGGGGGATTAAGACAATTATGCCACCACAAGGCTCAAAGACATTAGAAAGCAGATTCCAATGAAAAGCTTACAATGTCTGATGATACGAATCACTGCCAGATCATGTCACATGATCAATAATGGCCTTATAAAGCTGGATAATCTGTTGATATGCTGCATGTAAGATTCGGTCATGCAGGAGGCGCAATGGCTCAGTGGAAGAGCAGTGGTCTCCTAACCTGGAGGTCCCGGGTTCAAAACCAAGTCAATGCCCCCTGTCCCCTTTGGTAAGGCTTCAATCCTTATTACCAAGTCCCTCAGTGAGGACTTAAATTTGTTGTTCAAATAATTGTTTACTGACAAGCATATAAAGGTACAACATGCTTTCGAAACAGTCTGTTAGAACAACCCTTGATCATCAAATAGAAAATTCTTTATGAATGTTTGATGAACAATAAATGTATGAGGTAATGCTAGTAGAGCTTCAAAGCCACCGTCTTCATGTAAACCGCATAAGATCTGAAGTTACTCTACCTGAGAACCCATCTGGATATTCCTCTTGTAAGAACTTTGTGCTGATATCACCCGAGATAAATCTAGGATTAGCAAGAACATCCTGAAGGAGAGAGATGTTGTGAGTTACACCTAGAGAAAAACAAACAAAGAATAGATCTTAGAATCAGAATAAAGTAGAGAGATGTTGTGAGTTACACCTAGAGAAAAACAAACAAAGAATAGATCTTAGAATCAGAATAAAGTAGAGAGATGGTGTGAGTTACACCTAGAGAAAAACTAACAAAGAATAGATCTTAGAATCAGAATAAAGTAGAGAGATGTTGTGAGTTACACCTAGAGAAAAACAAACAAAGAATAGATCTTAGAATCAGAATGAAGCAGAGAGATGTTGTGAGTTACACCTAAAGAAATACAAGCAAAGAAGAGATCTTAGAATCAGAATGAAGCAGAGAGATGGTGTGAGTTACACCTAGAGAAAAACAAACAAAGAATAGATCTTAGAATCAGAATGAAGCAGAGAGATGGTGTGAGTTACACCTAGAGAAATACAAGCAAAGAATAGATCTTAGAATCTGTTACGATGTGTAGTCTGCAAAGTGGGTTTGCAGTGATGTGGCTAGTCACTTCTATACATTCATCCACATCTATGTCTATTTGCTTAGCAGTTAGACATGTAACTTTTTCTTCAATATTTCATGATTAATTTAATGATTAAAAAGTAATATTATTTTAGGGAAATCACCACTTCTCAATTAGAAATTACAAAACATAACATAAAATGGGTCTTTAAACATCAATACATCTAGTAATAATAGTAATGCTGGCTTCTTGTTTAGTGCTCAAGTTCTTCAAGCCATAATGCTCCTGGAACTCCAACATTATTGCCATGGTCAGTTCGCCTGAAACCTTCAGTTATCTTCTCAAATTTCAACATGCAGTGATGAAAATATAACTTGGTAGCTCTGAGCATCCAGCTCACAAAAAACAAAGAAACAAAAACAACTACAAACCTCTGATGATGTACGTATCCAAGGCTTTGCCCATGGTTGCTAAGGCTTCTTCTCGTGTTGCACCATAGGTAACAAGCTGAAAAAATTGTAAATACAACATTAGTGATTGAAAATGCATTCCTGATTTTATGAGTAAACATACATTGATTATATAATATATTTCTATTAACTTACTTCAAACCTTAACAAATGTGATAAGAAAGTGTTCCATTATTTAGAATTCATCAGAAGAACGGAATGATGTCATGTGACAATAATAAGAATGTTAGCAGATCATGTGGACCTACGATCAATATCACCATACAAATGCCTACTACAGGTGTTATTATTATTAGTAGACGCAATGTCTCAATGCACTTTCAAAGTGCCTTCAAATTGCCATATCATTGTACACTGAAAATGTGTTTTTTCTTTTCAAATATCAATAGGCAAACATGAAAAATACACATTTGGCCTTTCATAATCCTGACATATTATAAGTATAGCTAAACATGGAAAATACACTTACGGCCTTTTCTTACCCCGACACATTTTAACGAAACATGAAAAATACACCTGTGGCCTTTCTTTCATCAAATTATTGGTCTTTGGCTTCACCACTCGACGAATTAAACACATCAGAATTTCTATTCATATAAAGGTCTCCTTTAACAGATCAAAGAAATAAGAAATAAGAAAATCCAATTGAAGTTTACCTTTGAAATCATAGGATCATAGTACATGCTGATCTCACTGCCTTCTTTGATACCGCTATCTACTCGCACCTTGTCAAGATGAAGGGGCTCAGAGTAGCGATGAAGATGACCAATGGACGGAAGACCAAAAGATTTATAAGGATCCTGGAGAGAAAGAGAGAGAGAGAGAGAATAAACAAATTATTTGATGAAGATGACTGATGGACGAAAGACCAAATGGTTTATAGAGATACTATTAAAAGAGATCCTATAAAGAAGGAGAGATAGAGAGAGAGAGAGAGAGAGAGAGAGAGAGAGGGAGAGGAGAAAACAAATACTTTGATGAAGATGATTGATATATAAGAGACCAAAATATTTATATGGGTTGGAGAGAAAGACCGAATGGATTATACAGATCCTAGAGAAAGAGAGAGAGAGAGAGAGAGACATCAAATAATTCAAAATCTGAAGAATTGAAGACTTATGGATTTTTTAGGGTCCTACAAAGTGACTTGAGGAAGTACAACAAATGAACTACATTTCATGCGAGCAGCAATAAACAGAATTTACATTTACAATTTACATGAAATCTCTAAATTATTTTTGGAAAGCAAATGGCATGAAATAAATTGAAGTGTTAAAAGGCACAAAAATAAAGGTCAACAAGTTTGGAAACACATATTTTCTTGCATTCCTATTCAAGTCATGAAGAAAATTAATGAATTGAATTTTTACACAATATATCAATAATCATGATACAATGTACATCATTTTACATTGTACAAATAACGCACGTCCCAGAGTGCAATAGCGGTGAATGCAGTACGCGCGAGGTTTCTTTAGATTGGTGCCGCTCTGTGCAACGAGCCGCTTGCGGCGAGTTGACACTGCGAACCATCTGAAGAAACCGAGCGTACACTGCATTTACGTTTCGCACAACAGGGTCAAGTGCGATATTTGTTTTATAAAATAGCGACACAAATAGCAACAAACGAAACTTTAGATCTAATAAGTTAGAGTCTACGAGAGTTCGATCTAGATCTAGATCTAGAGTTATGTTGGTTCTAGACTAAGACCTTGCAGGCTTACCAAAAAGTCAATGGGATTCATTGCCTTGATTAAAAATAAAATCCATACAGTGGGTCTAGAGACGAGTCTACATCAGACATCTGAAATTCCTGGCTTCATTATAAAATCCAAAAGTCAAAACAGGCCTAAATCCAAGGCAAAAGTAAAATAAATATTTGCTTTTTAATAATACCCCGCTGGCTGCTCTAGCTAGCTAGCTAGAGCTAAGCTACGCGTACGTTGCGCTGGGGATCATGGTGGAGCGTACAATATTAGCTACGCGTAGCCTACAATAATAGTTGAAATAGTTGAAATATTTATTGGTTACTGAATCATCATAGGTTATAACAATAATGTGACAATGTCTTTACATGAGTATAACACATAAGTTAATTACATTTCCACATTCAGTAAATCATAGATACATACGCTCGAAGAGGTGATGATACAGAAGGGCTACAGCCTAAGCGTGACAGCTTGATACGCTTGCAGCCCAGAAACATTTAAAATCATAACGATTGTAAAGTAAAGTAAATTACAGAACATAATTGGGGGAAAATAACAAAAAATAAACAGTGACTTGCAACCAAAAAAAAAAAAATGGGATAGAGGGTGCATGGGAGGGGGATTTTCCTGCTATATCAAGGAAATGCTGACAAACATATATGATATCATGTGTTAATTTAAGAGATTTGTCAATATTTGCTCAATAAAATTGATTTCACACTTTTCTTGAAAGTATATACGGACTTCAAGTTACGGATGTCAACAGACAGTGAGTTCCAAATATCCGGACCAGAATGTCTTATAGATTTCATAGCCATTGTTGTTTTAGGATTACATAAATGGTATTTATTTGATTGTCTGGTTGGGTATGTATGAATATTTCTATTCAAACAAAACATTGGTGGGAAGTGGGAAGGTAGGGAATCATTATGTAGACGGAACATGAACAGTGCTTTTTGTAAAAAGTTAATATCAGTTACTTTCAGAGTTTTTAACCTCGCGAATAGGGGATCAGTGTGATCGCGATATCCAGCATTGGTACACACACGAATCGCTTTCTTTTGTAAAAGTAGCATTTTATCAGTATATACTTTTGAGTCTGCCCACAGTATATTGCAATAAGACATGTAAGGAAGAATCAAGGAATTGTATAGCATATATAGAATATTCAAAGGCACATAATGTTTTAACTTATACAGTAAACCAACAGTGCGTGACACTCTCTTTGAAACGTAATGTACATGATCACTCCATTTCAGATTTTCATTGATGATAGTTCCAAGAAATTTAGTATTTTGTTTTTTCTCCAAATATTCACCATCCAAGACTATTTCAGGTATAGGTTTATCAGTTGCATTTTTCCTGCTTTGAAAATGAATATAATTAGTTTTTTTCAGATTCAGAGACAATTTGTTGCTCCTAAACCACAAAGACAGCTTAGGTAGCTCGGTGTTCAGAATTCTCTGAAGTGATCGAAAATCGGAATTGGAGCAAAACACATTAGTATCATCAGCAAATATAATATATTGTAATGATGTAGTTGAGTTCGAGATATCATTAACATACAGTAGAAACAATAAAGGACCGAGTATCGATCCTTGTGGGACACCACATTTCATAGGCAATAATGATGAATCTACAGATTCGTAGCTTACATATTGCTTTCTACCTGACAAATAATCATTAAACCAGTCAAGAGCAACTCCTCTTACTCCGTAATAATGAAGTTTGCTTGATAGTACCTTGTGATCAAGAGTGTCAAATGCTTTGCTTAAGTCCATGAATACACCAATAACATGCTTTCGAGACGCCAAAGCATTCGAAACCTTATCATATAATTGTGCAAGGGCTAAATCGGTTGAGTGGTATTTCCTGAAACCATATTGATCCTGATTCAGTAAGTCATTTTCTGTTAGAAAACAATATAGCCTATTGTATATAAGTCTTTAATTGCAATGCACTCGAGGGAGCGCGCACTACACGTACGCGCGCGCACTGGATCTCCATGGTCACGTGCATTATAACTTTTTGTTGCGCTTTTTCTGCACTCATTTCTGCAAAATCGTGCTTGCATCAAAAATTTGTCAATGTCATGTGACACGTATTGACCAATCACGATGCTTAAAATACTAGAGCCATTTTATAAAATATATCAACCATCAAGTTAATGTACTAAAGGCATTTAAGGGTCGATTTCCAAAGAGACATAAATCTTGATCCTACCTCAGCATAGACTCTGCTCTCAATGGCCCATCCGTTGATTGGTATATCACTCTGTGTGTATCTAAGGGTGTGTCCCTTAGCAACGCGTATCATCTCCTGTACCAGGTCTACTCCAGTGATGCATTCCGTAATCGGATGTTCAACCTACAGAGAGATGATGGAAAAAATGTCATGAAACATTAAGGGTGCGCACTGTTTAAGCAACACTTTTTCACCCTAGAAACGCGGTTTAGTTTAAAACACTGTTGCGTTTGTTAAAAATAAATGTGTTTAAAAACGCAAACATGAAAACGCTGAAAAACAAAACCGAGGTCTCAATCATAAATCTATGACATCATTATCATAGCCTGCGGTTTTGCCGACAGTCGACCGTAACAAAATTCAAAAAGCATGCGCCGAAGTTGATCTATATTCCTTGGTCAAACTGCGCAGTGGCTAGGCTTGAAATAAGCGAGAACCAGCGTTGATGGAAAATCGCTTGAACGATCTCCCGCAGTAACCGTGTTTTGTAATGGCATTTTGATTGTGATTCTAGCTTTAAAAAATCGCTTGTACACACCAAGTGAGGTCTGTATATTTCTATCACTGGGTCACTCCAACACTGTCACAGAAAAATGAAAATTCCAAAAATTAATTTTCAATGGAAAGGCTTCAAAAAAGTTTGTACAAGCAGTTGCTATAACTTTTACCTGCAATCTTGTGTTCATTTCTAGGAAATAGAAGTTCCGCTCAGAGTCCACTAAGAATTCAACCGTACCTAGAGAATAAAATCATAAATCATATAATAAAGTCACAATTACTGAATAACACTTGAGCATAAATAGATTGTCTCATGTTGCCATCAATAATTCTTTTTTGCCAGTTTGGTTTTCTTGTATTCCTCAAGATTCACCAGGTGAAGGTACCATTATAATGTATTATAAGATGATGAAGCAGATCCTAATCAAATGATTGGTTGAGTGCGTACACGTGACCAGGTATTTTACTAATGACCGGTCCTTAGTGAAAAGTTATGACCATTTATTAGTAAAATCATATTTATATAAAGCATCATTTTATAAAACAAATAAAACGTCATCTTATAACACAAATAATCCACATCATTTTGTTCCGGCCTTAGTAAAATTACCCACACTCGGTACCTTTGTAACAGTCCAAACACCATGGCTACCGCCTCGGGCGTGTTAGACTGTTACAAAGGTACCTTGTGTGGGTAATTCTACATGCCCTCACTGATGTGTATTATTTGTATACCATCACATAGTGAATCTCAACCACTGAACATTCTACATTCTTTCTCTCTTTACAATATACGCCTGTTTCTCACAAAAATAAACATCCATAGTCAGTACTGTATTCAGGAAGGTTTCTGTTCCATTCTCCCCTATAGTGAAACTAGTTCATGTCATGGTGTCATAATGAACATGGTGATCACATGACACTTATCATATAAGTGAAATAATAACATGGGACATTTTATAGGCAAAGTAAAAAACATAATGTACCAAAGTGATTACAACACTACAGGTTTTTGAAGAGAAACAGGAAATACTTAGACTCAAAAAATAAAAACATCACTTACGAAAGAAGTATATTTTAAGGAATCTTTTGAAAGCGGCATGGTGTTTTATATTTCTGATGCAGCCACTGTAAAACTTTGTTTCATTGGCAGACGAGGGTCTGAATTTGGGATTAAATGAGTTACCTGCTGATTTATAATCTACGGCTCTTGCTAATAATACTGCTTGGTTTCCCATGGCTTGTCTAGTAGACTCATCTAAGAAAGTACTGTAAAGACAAACATACAATATAAACACAGGATCATGTCTGATATACAGGTACATCAAAAGTGGCTGTTCATGGAATTACACAAGTACATCAACTGCTAGATGTTAAAATGAATTATAATAACAATATAATTTTATTTAGTGGTGGTTATTTTACCTGACTGCTGATGCAGAAGCATAAATGCTTGTTAGTAAGCAACCAGAGAACCGACAGCTTTAGGTCTTCTCTGAGAGACCTTGTAATGAGGATTAATGCCTTACCCGGGTCACCGGATTACAAGACCACTACTCTACCAACTGAGCTATCGCGCCTCCTCCTTGGTAAGCCTCATCCGCATTCTTGCTGACAACTCTGCAATTATTACTACCCCAGCTTTTTCCAGGCACCTATTTACACCTGGGTGGAGCGTGGCAAAAATGGACTACTGTCTTGCCAAAGGATGTTAGTGTCAGACTGAGATTTGAACCAACAAGCCTTGGGTTAAGAGTCAAGTGAATGAACCACTATACTATGGCACCTTCACAAACAGAAAGGGGTATTATTGAATATACATAGACCTACTCGCTTGTGTTTTCTCTCTAATTAATTGCGTTGGTTAGCACACATGCTAGGCCTGAATAATACATGTACCTCATCGATTGTTCTCTACAAGGTTATTTTTCAGTTATATGTAAAAATGAACAGTACCATAAGTAATAAGATATGACATGTGTTATCATTAGGGCATAAAGCTGGTCTATGCTTAAAATTCATTTTATAAAATTTACAAGCCTCCAGTGACCCACTCCGCCTACATACAACATCACACAGGAACTAGCTGGAGATAGGACTTGCACTATAACTGCATCTAAATATTGGAATAGGCTACCTTTACTCAGGCAATCACCATCTGTCTCTTCATTCAAAAAGGGACTTAAAACATTTCTTTTTAGTAATCCAGATTTTTAGGATTATGTAAGTTTTCTTTTTCACTTTTTGTAGGATTCTTCTTGTTGTACGTGCTTTGGGCCATTCTGGGAAAAGCGCAGTATATAAATGATGATAATAATAATAATAATAATAATAATAATAATAATAATAATAAAAGGTATTCAGGACCTATAAACTCATTTTGCATGGAAATACACCCATTTTATTTGTACAAGCACACTTACCTGGGGGCTTCTTCAATGACCTTTTGATTTCTTCTTTGAATAGAACATTCTCTTTCATTCAGGTAGATTGCATTACCATGGGAATCAGCTAATACCTAAAAACACAATACAAAAATCAAGAATATCATCCCTTAGTACCAAAAACACTCACAAATCAAACTGATTAATAAAAATCAATGCTAGCATCATTATTAAACAAACCCAAAATGTTGGGATATTATATTTTAGCGTGTTTCTGGTAGGGTCTGGGGGCTGGGAATCAGTGTAAAAAAATACTTTTCTTTTTGTGAGAGCTCTATTAGGATTTGGTGTTGCATAAGAGTGTGAATTTCCCACAGAGATAATTAAAGGTAATACAAAGTTTTGGTAATATTTCAACAGGATTGGATTATGAAATTTAAAATTAGCATTAAATTGTAAAACCTAATGTTAAAATAAGCAATTTGAAAAAGTGGGCTCTGAAATCAAAATATCAAATTTATCGGTGCTCCCGATAAATTTTGAATAGTGCCTATGGCCATACAATGGTGCATGTAGCTGCTACCATGAAAATCTCGGACTATGCAGTTCTGATATATAATTTCCAAACAGGAATAGAATATTGGTTGATTATAGTCAAGAAACATTGTTTTGAAGCTAAAGTAATATCAACCTTGAGAGGGAGCTATACAACATAAAGAGTTTATCATTCACAATTTCATCACTTTAGGCTCGATTTCAACTGCAAAAACGATTATTGAATATTGTAGGATCACATATGCTTCCAATATGTTAATTTGAACCAAAGTCATGACCCCAAACCAAACCTCTGCATTACCTTTATTGTACTAATACTTTATTGATTTTTAGCAGACCTCTTTTCAGTTTAATAACCAGAGCACTTTTGGGGGCTTTCGTGAGCTCCATTGCTTACTGCTCACCGCTCCTGTGTATTTTTTTTTTGCTACTAGGAATGACAAGAGATCTTCAAGAATCCTACAAAATATCAGCCTTCTGCTTTAAAGCAACTGCAAGTTATGTAAAAAATCTACAAGAATTAAAGGGAATATTAAAAATGATACTTTCATAATTGAAATACACATCAAATAACTCAATTTGGGGGGACACAATCAACCCATTATTTCCAGTTTTCAATGTCTTTCCTACCACTGCAACAATCTACATTAATTCTCCAGCCTTTCACTATAGCTTGTACAAATATGAAACATTACAAGCTTGAGATGTATTCTTGTTATATGTTTCATGTATACTTAAAACAGAGTATAAAATAGAACCAGTAAATACTGATCTTTATATTTTAATACCAGTAATAGTGGGAGAGTGATTCTTACTTGTATTTCTATATGCCTAGGATTATCTATGAACTTCTCAACGAGGAGCCTGTCATCTCCAAAACTAGCGGCCGCTTCCTGGGATGAGAGTCGGAATCCTTCCCTATAGAGGGCAGCAAACAGCAGCGGAAAAAATAGGGGGAAATCTTAGTTATGAGTGAATAAGCCTCTGTTTCCATCATTATCGTCATATTACATGTACCTGTGAATCTATGAAAAAATCATTTGTAAGTGTAATTGTATATATGAGAAAACTTCATTTACATGTTCCATGAGTATTTTGTTTTACAGAACATAGGCATATAATTATTACAAATATGGAAAAAAATAATTTGGAAACAATACATTTAATTGTACTAGCATGTAATTATACAGTGCGTCCCAGAAAAAACAAAACAGAGAATTATCAATGTTTTATCATAACTTCATCACACTATGAACATGACAGACGATGAAAGCGGACAAAATATACAGTTCCTCAGGTTGACAAAGGGACATCCCTTCACTGCTATTATGTAAAAATGTGTAGAACAGGTGTCACATGCATATTCACCTGTTATACACATTTTTACATGATAGCAGTGAAGGGATGTTCCCTTGTCTACCTGAGGAACTGTATATTTTGTCCGCTTTCATCGTCTGTCATGTTCATAGTGTCCTCCTCCTCTATCTCATTCTTACCTTGTTTCATCATCATTCCATGCTATCCTCATTCCTTTCCCTCCTCCCCCTGCTGATGCTTTTAACATGACTGGGTAACCTGAAGAAGAAAAGAAAGACTTTACATGTAAAGTACTCAGTCATAGCACTGCAACAAGGAGGTACAGGCCCCATTCAATGGTTTAGAATACTGACGAGTCCCAAATGCACAATTATCATTTTGTACAGATTGATTTTTAATTCTAAGCCATTGCATCCATCTCAAATGTCAATAATATAATGAAAGAACCCTCACATACATGTACAGTGCCTCTATTCAATCACAAACTCAGTAGTGAATTATAATTCAGATTTTTGAGACAAAAGCCAAAATATATGGACAGTAATGTTTTTAGCATTTTCCAAACAGATTTGAATTATTTCTTCTTCTACTTGCAATCTTCAAAGGGCTACAAATTTCAGTTGCTTGCTTTTAACCCATAACAGTTTAGTGTCACCTTTTAGGGTTGCGTTCAAGCAATTTTTTGAAGCTAGAATCACAAATCAAAACGCCGTTAAAAAACACATGTTACTGCGGGAGAGCGTTTAAGCGATTTTTCATCAACGCTGATTCTCGCTCATTTCAATGCAGCCACTGCTAATCACACTTTGCAGTTTAACCCAGGAAGTATAGGTCAACTTTGCTGCGTGCTTTCTGCCTGTGTTTACGGTCAATAGTCGGTCAAACCTTAAGCAGACCACGATAATGAAGTTATAGAATCATGATTGAGATCTCCGTTCGTTCAAGCAAATTTTAACGACTGTGATTCTGCAGAATTACGATACAAATTGCATCTTTTTCAGCATTTCATGTTTGTGTTTTTAAACACGTTTATTTTTACGACCGACAAAAAATCGCTTGAACGCAACCGTTTTTAGTCTTTGAAAACCATGATTCTAGGGTGAAAAGGTGTCGATTGAACGCACCCTAAGCTACCTGAGAAGGCAAACATGCACGTACCTATATCATTAGCAACCTCTACTGCTTGTGCTGGGGTCTCTACAACCCCATCGTAACCAGGGATGGTGTTGACCTTTGCGTCCTTGGCAAGGAGTTTACTCTCTATCTTATCCCCCATCGCCTGGATCGCACGGCTACCTGGTCCAATAAATGCTACATCTGCATCAGCCTGTGGAGATTGGGAAGTGTAAAGAGTGATATTGAAGGTTCAGTTAGGGGTTATTCATATTTGTTGGGCTAGACCAAGAGTTATGATCTTTAGACTGACTCAAGGTGATATTAATAATAATATAGAATATTTAGGAGCGCTAAAAATAATGAGTACCATAGCGCTTTATACAAATAAAAATATATGAAAACAGGACAAAAATGTACAGTACAGGAAGTATATCACATAGATCATTGGGGGAAAAGGTGAGTAGATTGTAATGACATAAATTCTTGTTGAGAACATAATCACAAAAAGGCCAAGACAGTGACCCTTTGCAGTTAAATTTCAAGAATTCTGTACAAAACTTTACAAATTTTGAGAAAGAAGAATTGCAAAAACTTTATCTTACCTTTCATGGCACAAGTTCATTGAATTTCAACATGTATTTCCTAACTTGTACATAGTATTTTTTTTTAACTCCCAATAGTCTCGCTTTCTACTTTCATTCTACCTTAAACTTTATATATTTCAAAGTGAAAAATAATCAAATTCTGAGTATTTCCAAGGTGCTATTAGTTTGTGCTTGGAAAAAAGCTTGAAAGTCAAAGTATCTCTAATACATGAACATGACCATATAAGGAAATTATACGTCACATCAGCTAATTACTTTCAATTAATTACTTTCAGTCACATGAGAGAAATGTAACCCTATATACCCGATAGGCAGGTTGGGATGGTTTCCTGCCAATTTTCATCAGAAACTGTAATGGCAGGATTCATATTAAATCTGCTCATTAAAGGCATCGTATAACAATGTTATTCTGAGATGAATGGCCCTACACGTATGTGTTAATCAGTGTCTGTGATATGGTGTATAAATATTGAAGCCCTAAAAAAAATGCACTTGAAAATGATCATGAAGTGCCTCAAAAAATATCTTTGAGTAACCAGTTTTACCATACCGGTACTTATTTTCCCCTGTAGACTGTAGTGTTATAAAAACTAAAATATTAGGAAAACCATTAGGAAAACAGAAAATGCGATTTCGATTTCCATCATAAATATCTTGATAATCAGACAGGCCATCAGCTTGTAAAAGTCATGGGGTTCCTGACTGACCAGCAGGTTTTGTAGCAGGAGCTAAATCCAGGATTTTGTTTCAGAATCCAAGACAATGTTACTGAGTCACTTTAAAGTTGCTTTTCTATACAGTATACATGTACGTTATACATGGAAAAGCAGTAAAAAGATGGAAAAGCAGTAAAAAGAAGAAAAAAGAGGGAAAAAAAGAAAAAAAAATCTCGCTTATCAGGTCAAGGTAAAGACAACAGATAAAAAATATATATAGTCCTAACCATTTTCCTTTTCCTGTTCCAATTTCAGTGCAGTGTACTTTTAAAAGAAATGTGGACTATATTGTAGTCAACGTATGCTATGGTCACATTACCCAAAAGTAGCCTGCTCTGTGGCTGAGCGGCGAGTTTTTAGGCTCGTTTTTAGGGCATCGCTCGGTCGCCGCTAAAGTTTTAGCGCGGAGTTAAAATTTGGGCGGCGCCTGCTCACTTTTCACTCGCTGCCAAAAATATGCTCGGTGCATGGGCGGTCGCCGCCCAGGCACCGACCTAATTGCTGGGCGATGCCTAAATTCCAGCAGCGACCGAGCAGGCTACTGATCGGTCGGTCGCTGCTCAGATTTGTGACCATAGCTTAACAGATACATGTACATACAAGGATTTAGAAATTCTATTCCACATTGAAGTGGCATGTTATTCTTGCAGCCAAAAGGTTACATAAAGTTCACACAACTTGACAGTGAATAGAAGTCTAAAGGTGCGTTCAAGCGATTTTTTTTTAAGCGAGAATCACAAACATAAATCACAAATCTAAATGCTGTTACAAAACATGGTTACTACGTGAGATCGTTTAAGTGATTTTCCATCAACGCTGATTCTCGCTCATTTCAAGCCCACCCACTACCCATCACACTGCGCAGTTTGACCCAGGAAGTATAGGTCAACTTCGGCGCGTGCTTTCTGAATTGGTTTACGGTCGACTGTTGGCCAAACCAGAAGCTGGCCACGATAACGACGTCATAGAATCATGATTGAGATCTGCGTTGCGTTCAAGCGATCACGTTACAAAACGCTTCTTTTTTAGCGTTTCATGTTTGTGTCTTGTTAAACACGTTTATATTTACAACCAACAAAAAATTGCTTGAAATCGCTTGAACGCAACCTTGTTTTAAACTAAACGTCTTTGAAAACGGCGTTTCTAGGGTAAAAATGTGTCGCTTGAACGCACCCTAAGAATGAGAAAAAAATGTAATAACCCTATGGCTAGCTTATCACCTCTGTGGATAAAAAAAAGACCCTCCCAACTGTCAAAATAAAATGTATTGTATAAATGTGTTCTTCCTTGCTGCTTGAAGATCAATGCATAGCTTTCTGTTTGCCCTCTTGAACTCCCTAATACTTTTTTAGATTCGCAGGTAAATGGTTACTCTAGATTTAATGGAAATTTGAATTGCTCAACAATGTCTAGAGAGCTTGGGCCGTTATTCAATTCAATACTTAGTATAAGTAAGAAATTTACCATGTAAATGGTTAAGCTAAGAAATTTACTTATCTCGTTATCTCAGTTCAGACTTATACTTACCATAATTAACGGTGTATAAACCACACCTTTTTGCCGCCGAAAAAAATTCGAAGTCGGGGGTGCGGTTTATACATGTACACGGTATAATGTCTCCCAGCTCAGTAATCTGTGTGTTGAATCACCACTCGGAAACTAGAACAACACTCAAATTTGTCTGTCATTTTGGTTTGAAAGTAATCTTTCTGATAGATCTCAATATGTAGTTTATAATGATAATTCCTCCAATTGTTCTTCTATTACACGGCGTACCACAAGGTTCTATCCTAGGGCCTCTAATGTTTTTTTAATTTACATTAATGATCTTACACATTCAGCTGCATCTCGCAGTGAAATGAAAGGCCCTCCCACGTGGGTTTTTTAATACGGACCTGGCTTGCTGCCGACAGAGTCCGCAATTTTTATTTTTTTTTAATTTTTTTTAGAGCGAAAAAGAGGGGTGCGGTTAATACACGAGGGCGGTTTATACACCGTTAATTAATCTAAGTAAAATAATAACTGATAAGCCTTGTGACATCACATGGTCAATCAAAAGTAAAGCGCAATTAATGTGTTGCAATAAATGCACGCTGATATAATTGTGCACAGGTTATGATAGTGCGTAAGAAACCATTTGCCTGCCAATCAAGGCCTCCAAATAATTGGCTTAAGTCTGGTAGGGAGCTGTCTTAAATTTAGGGTTAAAATACTTAGCCAAAGTTTTAATTGAATACCAAAATTGGCTAAGTATTTTATCTAAAGCCAAATACTATTAAAGTAAAAGGCTTCAATTTTGTACTTAAGTATTGAATTGAATACACCCCCAGAGGTATGAAAGGTTACTGGGAATCATTTTCAAGTACCGGTACAAAAGTGAATTCTAAGAATGATACAGTCTCCATGATTCATCATTTTCTTTAATACAACTTAGTGCAGAATGATGTAACTGATTTGTAATATATGTGGAAGTGAAATGCTCCACCGCTCCATCGCTGCTTGACACTAAAAAACTTAAAGATAAAGTTGAGTTCTGGTCATGCGATTACATCAATTGTGAAAGAGAGGGTGTAGAGTTGATCAGAAGAGGTTGATCATCTAACATATTATAAGTATTGGTGTGCACTGCAAGGTTCTGATATCATCAAAATGACAAGAAATTTGGCCCAGTCCTGGTAACGTTACAAGCACTATACAAAGAAATATGTAAATGCGACTACACGAACATATGGCATAAAAATCTGTCCCGATTTTTATGCTGTTACATGCCATATTTAGAATATTAAAGCTTATCTGTACTCTTTTATAGGAGGGATTAGACCGCCCTGCAAGGTCACTGGACAGGTGGTTACAGTATCTCATCAACTCAGCTCTCAATTAACATAAGAAAAAGAGGATCATGTGGGACCAATGGTCACTGATTAGGCATCGTTTTCTAAATAGAGGGAGCAAGTAGCTACAAGTAGAACAGTGTGGCTTTAAGGAATTTGAAGAGCCATGCTTTACAGGGAACATTTTTTATCTGATGTTCTTCCACTCTTGCATACTAATAACAATGATCACGTTCACAAATTACTTTTCACCTTTTCCCAGAACTCAACCTTCTCTTTAAAATTGAGGAACCTTTTTAGTAAGAGGTATCCAAAAGGAAGATAGATAAACTAGTACATTGCCACTCTAGAAACTTCCTGTATGTTTCCTTATCAAATGAAACCTAAACCAAACTCCTACTTAGAACGAGGAAGTGCGGCCCTGTAATCACTCAAATTCACAACTAAACTTCCTTTGTAATGATAACTAAATATTTACAAGAGATTCTTCAAGAGTGGAAGGAAAAGGTCAATTACATGAGCAAATAAAGTTCTAAACTTCACTAAGACCTCAAATTACATGTTTTACTTACAAAGGTTTTTTATATAACAGTACTTCATCTTAAAACTTAAAGAGAATATTCAATTTAATATGAAGCACTATTAGTGCTGAGCATAATATATGTTTAACTGATCATGACCAATTGCAACAAGTTCTTTATATTTATTGTACCTTCTATTTCTATACAATATTTATTTCAATATGAATATATGCTTGGGAATTCAAAACACAGGAATTTGTGTAAATCATTTTCATATGTACATACAGCATCATACATGTACATATCAATGTATGATCCATCTTTTTGCTTAGAAACTTTTGAACATTGAACTCTCTAGACTCTGCTCACTTGTTGTTCTCTCGCTCTCTCTCTCTCTCTCTCTCTCTCTCTCTCTCTCTCTCTCTCTCTTGTCTACTCTTCTCCACAATAATCCATAGTAGTACAGTGTCTCCTTTTAGTGACTTTTTTTTATCTAGCCAAGCATTATGAATTGTAGCCATGGATTGTGGTATAATGCATGGTCATGTGTTGCCATTTGTCCAATTAGATTACCTAAATTATAGAACCTATTTTAAAGATACTATGTCCCTTATGCAGCCAACATCAAATTATGTAGAACTTTGCAGGAATTATGAATATATGTCCTTATGTCCTATCTGTGAAATTTAAAAGTTAGCAGTGTCCAAGTATTCAAATTATGCAAGGAAACCTGTTTACTTTCTAGACTTCACTGTTAGACACTACTGAGTGACGGACTAACATCTTTTTTTTCTTTGGTAATAACATACATAAAATGAGCTCAAACATCAATAACCCACTACTTGTAATGGCCAAAATTGAAGTGATACAATCTTTGTGCAGCACAACAAAACGTATGACCATTTGGTTCAAGGGTCTGAAAATCGGTGAATGCAATCACTTATGTTGATTGAACAACTAATGGTCATTATTTTCCCACAAAAAGTCTTTTTCAAACTCTTTCATTTTGAGGGAAGTTCTAAATAAGTATTGTCTTTCAAATGGCGTTGGAATTAAATCTTTTAATTTTTTTGACCTGCAAATGGGACATATTACCTTTAAATAATGCCGGTGAACTTTACCATCGATTGGATCAATTTTCAGATCTATCACTCTTAGTTTCATCTCTCTTCTTATCTGTTTCTTTGCCATGCATGTTGAGCATACATGTAAGTGGTGCAATCAGATCATAAAAGTAGCTTTTGATTCTGAAAGGTTGGTCGCAAAAGATTAATAAATGGTGTGTTATATGCCAATGAAATCCACATTCTTTTCAAATGGTATGCGTTCGTTGATTGTTGAGTAGTGGTGAATCAGGAAAGTTTTCGCTGAAACTGCTATGCATTTGTATTTGACACAAACTAATAAGTACTTATTGTTCTTCTCAATGGGTAGAAGATTTGTAAGGAAACTCACAAATAGGTTTCCATCACCAGGCCTGCCATCATTCAAACACTATTCAACAGTCCATTTAATTAGAAGTCTCACTTCCAAACAGGAACCAACGAATCTGCTCATACATGATCATGATGGTATAAGGCAGTGAGAGAGGATAGTCTATGTATCGCAGACCCGGAACTGCACTGAGTCTGAGCGGAATAGAAACTGAAAAAAACAATTCTGCCTGGAAGATAGGATAATCAAACAGGGTCGTTAAAACTGCAGGTTCCCATAAATAGTAGTCTCACTTCTAAACAGGAACCAACGAATCTGCTCATACATGATGGTAAGGCAGTGAGAAAGGATAGTGTACATGTATATATTGCAGACCTGGAATTTCATTGGGCGGAATAGAAACTAAAGAAAAAAAATTCAGCCTGGAAGATAGGATAATCAAACAGGGTCGTTAAAACTGATGTTAACTTCCTGTTCCGCCCTCTCGGTTTCATCTCAAGGATATTATCTGAGTTCTATCTCCCTCTCTGTGTGTGTTCCTGTAAGTGTGTCTCTCTCTATCTCTATCTCTATGATTTTAAGAGAATTGTTCGAGGGAAGGAAGTCATTGATAACGAGGGTCACAAGGAAAAACCGGATCTGATTTCATATATTAAAAAAATATTCCAAGAAATCACAGGAATATAAAAAACAGGCACTTCCGCAGGTCATCCTAGGATCTCATCTAAATGATATAGTTTCAAAAAGTTGGATGAAAAGAGATCTAGCACTTTTAATACAAGCACTATTAAAGGGAGAGATCTAGATTTAATTTGGGTAATGGCCAGCACAGTGATGACCATAAATTGATTACATACATGCTATACAGCCATAACTTGAGAGTCTTGTGAAATAAATTTGTAAAAAGTGAAACCCTAGGAAAGCTTTCACTTACGTTTCGTTGACGATCAGCCATGAACAAAGAAGACGAAAGACTTGATGCATGGCTGATCGTCAAGGAAACAGAGTTAAGTCTTTTGTTAATTCCGTTCGTTGCTACGGCAGGCAGCCAGTCAAAAAGAACTTTTTGAATCAAATTATGAAAATGCAAGCATTCCTTTAAACAAACAGAACTTTGTTATTCCTGGCTAATTTTTCGTGACTGAGGTGTCATATGAAAGGGCAGAAAATGAATTTTCTAGAAATGTGATTTTCTCTTTGAAACTCAGATACTGCCTGCAATATGACTTTTTGGTACCCTCTCTTCAAATTGTTTTTAATCACTCATGCATGAAATATGCATCCTGTGTGTTGCATCAAATGAAAGAGGAGGATCTAAGCTTTACAAATATGTGTTATTTATTAATTTTAATTGTGATTAAGTTATAAAAAAAACATCAATATTTTTTTTTTTTTTTGGGGGGGGGGGGGGAGGCACTGTATAGTTAAAAAGTATGCGACTAGTGCCTAACCTCTGCGTTGTGAAGCTCAATATGCATTAACATCATGAAGAATTAACCCACTTGAGAAACTAGAAGTACAAGGTTAGAAATATTATATATTCACGGACAAATACAAGCTATACAACTACATGCCTTAACTACCAGTAAAATCTATTATCAGAGGAGTTCATTTTCAAAGAGGCTCTTATAATTTTGAAGAGGGATAATTGAAAGTTCGAGCTAAGACCAAGGTTTGTTGTGAAGGCCTTGTACGAGCAAGGAAACTTTTACATGTATATGCTACATACCGGTATTGTGTATAGCACGAAACAAGGAGAAGAGTATGAAAGTATCAATTTCTTGAATAGCCTCGATGAGGTCAACTATAGACACTTGTGCATGTATGAGGGTCGATTCAAACTGTACTACACAACCTTCTGTGATTTAGTATGATTTAGAATGACCTTGTGACATGAGCGCTATACAAGACTCTACTATTATTATAATTAGTTTCACTTTATGGGATTAATCGTATAAACCTACGTGCACATCTAGCAAGGGGTCCTTCATATCCAGATTGATGTTTATAACAAACAACTGTTTGTCATACCTTACACGATGAATCTGCATACATGCCAACATTTGAAAATCAGAAATCTGTACAAATTATGCTATTTTCAAAAAAAGGAGGAACAATCCTAACTCTCCTATTCAATACTACAGACAAATTTGTACAGGAAGAGGAACACCTGCATTAAAATGATAATTATCTTCTCCCAAAAAGAGGAATGTTCCTCTTTAATCTGTACAGTTGGCATGTATGAATCTGATGTCAACTAATAAAACGGTCCTTAGTGTAACAATTATACATTCTTAGGGTTAAGAATAAATCAATTGATTAGAGGGAAAGACAGAAGGTGGGGTAGGAGGGTGGGAGAGGAGGAGACAGGAGAGAAGGAGGCAGATAGAGGGACATAAAAGTATTAAAGGAAAAGAAGATGGAGAGATGGAAATGAGATGGGGGAGGGATTGTGGAGAATAAAATTAAAAGATAACAGACAATGAAATAAATATTTTGAAAAAGTTCATTTGTAAAATATAGTACATATCATAAATGATCTGGACCCAGATCTAATCTGTATGTGAGCTTGACTAGTCTTGACTTACCAGTCTCTTTGCAAATTTCATATCATCTATAGGCCTTTGTATATTCATATGTATATGTAACTTGAGAGTTGTAGTACAATTGATGTTGATTAGACTTGACTTACCAGTCTTTTTGCAAATTCCATATTCTCTGAAAGAAAGCCATATCCAGGGTGTACCTGTAAGAATCAATTACAAATAATGCTTTTATCTCTTTCAACTAATATTTCAAATATTTTTAAAGTTTGGGCTCCTTTATGAACGTGTCATATTATAACACGCGGGTGCCAATTTTACATGTAAAGTTGTACAAACGATGACTATAAATATTTTGCCCAATTGCTATATGTGTCATATCCCCATTTTGGGTAGTGTTTCAGTCTCATCAGCACCTTTGAATAGGCAACTAGATATTGGCGCTTTATAAATTCCTGGATTGGACTAGATTGGATCATGTCACGTGGGTGCCAATGACATGCATATGTGCATGTATAATAGCTATACATTCATTTATTGCCTTTCCTATCTCTACTAGATCGGAGAGAGACATCAGTCAATATTAGCCAAGAAAAACAATCCTGGGCCCCGTCTCATAAAGAGTTGATATTATCGCAACATATTTGTGAATTATATCAATCGCAAATATGTACATAAGAGATAAGGGACTGCAAACTTGCGATTAATTTAATAGAGGACTTGTGATTTATTTGGATCAATTGCAACTCTTTATAAGATCGGCCCTGGTTTGCTTAATGTTCAGAAACCCAAAAAATATTATTACTTTTATCAAAATGCAATGCGCCTTTTACACTCACATCTCAAAATATATAGTGTCTTGGTTGGAAGTATTCTATTCATGGAATATTTACACTCAATATGATGTGTGGGGTTTTACAAAGACTAAGATCGACTTTAAGTTGCGCTAACTATGGCAGGCCATTCATGCCACTGGTTTCTCTCACTATTATGATCTTTGTATTTTTTTCTTCAGTAATGAATTATCAAAAAACATAAATTCTGTAAATTTGTAACCATGATTTGTATGTCCCTTGAGAGACCAATGCCAGTAAATGGTGAGAGCAACCAGTGGCATGAACCTGCTATAGTTAGGTCCAACTTGAGGTAAATCATAGTCTGAAAATACGGCAGGGCTTTACACCAAACTTTTTGGCCTGGGCTTGGGATTAAAATGTCAAGATCCTCTTTATACATGTATAAACTCCATTGTAAAATGTTGAAATTTTGGGAACCCACATATTTTGGGCACCTGTTAGTATCAAGCATCGGATACAATCTCTAAATAAGCCTGCAGTATTCTGCATGTATTTACTCACACTGAATATTACAACCAGTGATGCTTTGATAACCTGTTTTGATTGTATTTATTCACTTGATTACAGTATACTTACAGCCTGTGAACCGGTATCTTTGATGGCTTGTAGTATCCTATCCATATTGAGATAACTGTCCTTGGATGCCGCTGGGCCAACACAAACAGCTTCATCAGCCATCTCTACATGAAGCTGAAAACAGGATTGACATTACAATAATAAGTTTACAGATATGAAAAAAGAAATTTCATGAAGGCAGGTAGCATGTCTGCCAAAAGCGAGAAGGGTGTTACACTGTAACTCATACATCAATTCGTCGCTGTTTTCACGAAGTGACGGTAGTGAAAAAAAAATGCATTCACTTTGCGTTACGATTTTCCTCACTACCGTCACTTCGTGAAAACAAGGACGAATTGACACTTTTTATATTGTTGTTTATATACATGTATCACTTGACCCAGAACAGTGTTAAATTGTAACTCATGCATCTATTGCATAACATTTGGAATTTTCAATTAGTAACATTTAAGTAAAACTGAATATCATGTGCGCAAAGCACACATCTATGTCACACCTGCCAAACTCTGGAGTTCAAAAACTGGATTCTTCAATCCCAAAAGTTGTATTTTACTGACAAAAATTGTATTTTAAAAGAAACATGGATCAATAATGCCTCTTACAGTTCCTACATACAGGAAGATTTTTTTTTTATTTGTCATGACTGGTGTGTTCGATGAACCAATGAACATCCCCAAATTGCCAATGTGAGATGCTTGTAGGATACTTTACGGGACAGAATGAATATTTTTTGATTTTTTGTTTGTGAAATTTGTAATAATAGAAGGCAGGGAAAAAAACTACTTTAAAAAATTTGGTGGCTACTTTTCAAGCTTGCTTGCATGACAATAACACTCAATAAATTGTTTTGCATTGAACTCTATGCAAAATTTGGGGGCTCTTTTGGGCATTTTGGGGGCTAATTCGCCCCGAGCCTCTGTGTATTTTTTCCTGATAGAAGGGGTCTTCGTAATTTCGTAACGAGGTTGGGAAATTTGTAACAATAACAATTTTGTTTTCGTAACATTTGGCAGCTATGCTATTGACACAGAAGGTTATTACATTGTAACTCATATATCACAAATATCTACAAATTTTATCAAGAATGACGAGGCAAAAATTGAAGTATTCACAATTAACTTGTGGAATTGATATTTCTTCTGATTACGTTATGCTGCAAAACTCAAAATCTGTAGTCAGATTGGATGGGGAATATGTAATTACATAGTGGTTGAAATGTTGAAATTCTCATAACTGTGGGGTTGTATTATGGGAGGGATATACAGATAAAATTCCAAGAAATCACATGCAAGAAACAATCTAGGGAGGCTCATTATAAACCTTAATAATAACAAAGTCTTTAAAGTACCTTATTACAATCTTATAAAGAATTTGTAAAACATATTTAACAAAAATTATTTTTCAATGTACACATGAATGCATTTATCGTCTAAGACATATTAAAGTAAACAAAACAACTTTGACTACTTTTGATGACACAATCGAAACTGTAATTATGAAAAGTTTCTCTTCCAACACATTACAAAGGCAACCCACACACAATAGGGACTAATCTATTGGTTTTGATGACGTATCTTAACATATCTTAAAGACCTAATTTTGATAATGTGCACGTTGGTGTATAGTCCCTGGTATTGTACAAGTAGTACAGAATAAATAGAAAGAGATAAATCCCATAAATAAATTATGCAATACACTCACATTCTGTGAATTTGAACATATATTACCCATATGATTTTTAAGAAATCATTCTATTTTCTAGATAGAAAAACCCTTGCCATTATAACAAACTTTTACTTTATTTCTCCTTTTCAGATCTATTCACACAGCATAAAATTTCAAAGTACCCATCTACACAACTTCAGATTCAGATTCAGATTTTATTGTCCACGTTAAAAAACACAGAAATTTGGCCTCCACTGGCAGAAGACAACAATGAATAACATAAGAATACATAAATGTGCACAAAACAAATACTTCAATTAGATTAACAAACAGTTGAATACATTCTGACAAAAGTAGGACGAAATAGCAGAGTGAAATGAGAAAAGGAGTGAAGGAAGCTGAGCAAGAAAAGACAGGAATGTAGGTAAGGGAAAGAGAGAATAAAAAAACTTGTGTCCACCTAAGAAATATTTCACTAAATGCTGATTTTCCTGTCTTACTGTAACCCAGATATAATCCAAAATTGTAAGAAAAGTTGAGGGTTCGATTCCAGACATGGCACTAATATCCTTTGGCTTTAGCAAGATATTAGCCTGCACTTGCTACTCTCCACCCTGGTGTTAAATGAGTGCCCAGTAGGATGCGACCGTCATTGTTGGTCAAACAGTAGTTGAGCGTGAAGTAACGCCTAGCTGGAATGCTCCCCAGGGAGTGGAGATTGTGCACATAGTGTGTGCGGGCCAGTATTGAATCCAATGACCGGGATAATAGTATATCTGTAAAGTGCTTAGAGACATTGTATTAAGCGTTATATAAAAGCGGAATATGGTCATTATTAGTGTAACATCCATTCAAGGTGAGCTTAACAATCCAAAATGATTTATTTTCACACCAATTCAAGAATAGCTTAAAAATTATAAAAGGGAGTGTAGCATGACGAGACTACGTGTCTTTCCCGTGGCCTGACCCTTGGCCAATCAGGTATAATACGACTACAGACGACGCAACCGCAGCAATCGTGTGCGTGCAACATACGCGAAACCGAAGCTTGAGGAGAACTTTGATCTGTTTTGCATACGCTGACCATGTAGAGATTAAGTTGCTGACTACTGTTAATCAAGTCCATTCTTTTACGTGCAGTTGTCCAAAAGAAGGCGTAGTTGGCGTTAACTAGTATTTGCCAAGCTACACTCCCTTTAAAATAATGTTAGGGTAAAGGTTATACATACTGCATTGACATCAGCTTCACTATAGATGGCGACAGACTTGATTCCCATATCACGACATGTTCTCATCACACGGCACGCAATCTCACCACGGTTAGCTATCAGGATCTTATCAAATGTCTGTCAAGATATAAAACAATCATAAATTTGGCTATTATTTACACTCAACTATTTGTTAAATCAATCTTTGTGCCCGATAGCAGCTCCACTGTACATGTATAATAACACATACAACACTGTTCAAGTGTCATTCAACAGAAACTGCACAAAAGTTGAAACTTAGTTTATCATATGCTCCATTGCTACTTCTTTCCCTCATGTTACCAGTCTTTTATCTCATTTATTTTTTCTATTTCACAGATTTAATGATGAAGCTTGTACAGGTATAGCCCCCCCCCCCCCCCCTCCGAATTTAATTCCCATCCATTCAAAGGGTTATATTTCATGATGGTAGCAACATGTAAGTGTGCATATATTTTTGTTGGTGACATATACATGTACATGTATACTCGATAAGCCAAAAAGAGGATTGTATTCAGAGCCCATTTTGTAAGTGAAACGCAAAAAGAGGTATTATTTTGTGGAAAATGTTTCTGAAAGTATGCAAAATAGGAGGTCATTTTTCACTGTGCTATTAACAATCATGTGTTTAACCTTTGGATATGAAGTGGGAGTAACATGGTGTATTGGTGATGGCTCTTCACCCACATACAAGAGGACCTGGATTCAATCCTTGCTTTGGTGCTTACTTTTGACAAGGTGTTTTGCCCACACTGATTTGTCCCTCTCAACCCAAGAATATCAAATGGCAATGCTGAGGTATTAACTGCAGGGCCCCAGGGAAGAGCAGTATGGGGATACCTACATGTATGTGGCTACCCTGAGTAAATAAGATCCCGTTATAATGACATCACCAGGAAGTCTATACTCACAGGTTCACTGGGATCCCAGGGTGCAACAGCATAACAACGGACATGTTCTTGGTAGCCATGGCAACTTGCAGGAACCTGATTTGGTGTGGGGGAAATGGAAACAATAAAGAGAAGAAATGAAGAAAGAGAAGAAATGAAGAAAGAGATTAGAAACAGCAAAGATATGAAGACCCTCTTTCCTAGAACGGAATTACACCGTGAATGAAAACATGTCATACATAGGTACATACATGTAACTGTTTTAGTAGCCAGTTGAGTGCTGGAGCTCTGTTTAGGAGCCTGTCTTGTTGTGCTTGTCCTGTTAAGTCATCTGGCCTAGCAAATCTGGGCTACATGTAACTGGGCCACCTTAAAGCAGGACTGCACTACTTGCAGTTTTGTACATTTGTAGCTACTTGCACCCTCTTATAGCAAACAATGCCCAAGTAGTACCTGTTGTTCCCCCATAATCCCCTTTATGTTATGTTAATTGAGAGCTGATTTGATGAGATAACCACCTGTCCGTGACCACGCAGGGATGTCTAATCCCTCCTGGCCAAACTAGGGCAGACAGGCATTAGAACAACCCTGAATAGCAAGATCATGTAAGTCAGGAGAGCTCAAAATCATAGCCAATACTTGTATGAATATTGGTTTGAGTTTATCGACTTTAATATAAACACTGTTAATCAGAAGGAAAATAGTGTTTATTGAGATAAACTGTGATAATCGAGTGGTAAACATAGTTTTTCTCGATAAACATAGAGTTTTTATCGCAAATGAACAGTGTTTATAGGTGATAAATAGTTTTCATCTGAATTATTGGGCAAATGGCACGCCATAGAAATATAGCACATTGCGACCGCACCATTAATGCTGAGCTCAAGTATGTGCGAAGACTCTGGAAAAAGGAGAAAAAAGGGGCTTTAATTTTTTTGACATTTATTTCCACCTCACTAACAGAATCATGATGTACCATAATGGTATGATTCAACCTAATGATTTGATAGGCTACGTTATGCTGTAGTACTAGAAGTCAAGTATTTTATACATTTTAATCCCGAGCCCATGCCAAAAAGTTTGGTGTAAAGCCCTGCTGTATGTCAGACTATTGGGGCATTGCAAGAAAGTTGCAATAAACTGCAACTCCCCCAAGCCAGATCCTCAATACGGTAGATTACTTCACAGAGGCGCGCGCCCTCCCCCAACCCACCATCGGTATGCACTTGTATTGTGCAGCGGTTTGCCGTGAAACCTGTGAAAAAGTGTTTACTGATATCATCGTTTTCTTGAAAAATACTCCAAAAATAACAAGAAAATTGAAACAAAACAGATAATAAATATAACAACTTTTAACTCATGATCTTTATTTGGACATTTAATGAATATTTACTTATTTTTGGTATGTTTTAGTAAGGTATCTCACACATAGGAGCATCACTATCCTGGCTGTGTAGTGAAAGCTGTGCTTTTGATTCTCAACATTTCAAACACCACTGTACAAATCTCAACTGATTTCACTCAAAATCGGTACTTTAGTGACAATTGATGACACCTAAATAGCAGTAAAATACATTTTTTTTACTAACTGATGTTAAAAAGAATAATTTAAAAATTCAAATTGTAAGTCTAGTGTCAAACTTTGCTTACAGCTGCATCGAAATGATTGTGTACAGTTTATGCAATATTGTGTGGTGTGTGTATTTGTGTATGGGTCTAAAAATACCCGCCTCACAGCAAGCATGCAGTGCTAGAGGTCAATACGCATTGGTATTGACTCTCTATGCTTTGCTGGAGTGAGGTATCTCCACGCCAGAGTTATGGGTCAAATTTTGGATAGGTTTCTGAACAAGCACCATCAATCGTCACTAGACTAGTAATAGGGTGTCTGATCGCGCACCCGATGTTGTGTGCTAAAATTCTTCCCATAGAGATTACACGCATCCCTATGCAGCCTACGTGCATTGCGCGACCATGCAAAAAAAGTCTCTTTTTTTTTTTTCAATTCGAGATTCAAACCTTTATCTGTTGTGATCCTGAAAGTGATACTCAATAAATGAGGTGTCATATGAAAGAGCAGGTAAATTCCAATATTTCCAAAGGGGCGTAGCCCCCGAAATTCTAAAAATATGTCAAAACAGCAATTTAAACATTGTGTCCTGGCTAACTCTGAGGTTTGTCACTTTTGAGATATGACGCCCCGATCGATAAGTAGTCCCAGTCCTAAGGAACAATTCTATGTGCTTATTTTTTAGCTAGCCCCTAGGGATCACAACTGATAACAGTTTAAAAATACCCTTCTCGCTATTTGGTGGATCAGCTAATTAGGGGGCGTGCGCTCCGCTCAGTCCAAACCATGGTTACATCGCGTAACCTCTCCGCGTACGAACGAAACCCCAAATTCAATTACACATTATAGTGAATGAAAGTATGGGTGGCCGTTCGCGGCATAGAACCCAGAAGTGAATAAACGTTGTAGTCAATGGCAAAATCGCGGAGACAACGCACGCACGTTGTCTCCGCGATATTGCCATTGACTACAATGTGTATTTACTTCCGGGTTCTATGCCGCGAAAGGCCACCCATACTAGTCAATGGCACATATCGCGGAGACAGCGTGGCTCAACCTGCAAGTCGCGCATTGGCTTAGCAACATGCGTACTATATGCATACGCTTGCATATCGCGCAATACAGCTGTTTGTCTGAATTTAGCAAAACAACATCACTCTGCGTGGGCCGTGGACGTCTTTTTCGTCGATTTTGACCAAAATGATATGAATATACCAGCGTTTTGGAGGGGCTGTAACTTTTGATAGAAACATCGGTGAGACATGAAATTTGAAATGTATTATTCTGATAACATTTTTCATTCAAATATCAAACAAAAATGGTGAAAAACGATCCCAAATTGAAAATTGAAAAATCGTTCAGACACCCTACTAGTCTAGTCTAGAGTCTAGTAACGATCACACATAGGAGCATCACTATCCTGGCTGTGTAGTAAACGCTGTGTTTTTGATTCTCAACATTTCAAACACCACTGTACAAAACTCAACTGATTTCACTAAAAATCGGTACTTTAGTGACTATTGATGACATCTAAATAGCAGTAAAATACATTTTGTTCAACTTACTGATGTTAAGAAGAATAATTAAAAAATTAAAATTGTAAGTCTAGTGTCAAACTTTGCTTACAGCTGCATCAACATGATTGTGTACAGTCTATGCGATATTGTGTGGTGTGTGTATTTGTGTATAGACTTCTAGGTCCCTGCCTCACAGCATGTATGCAGTGCTAGGGCCCGTTCCTACAAACCGTCATAAGTCTAACTTCTTGACTAAATCAGCGTTAGTGAGCTACTTGTCCGCTACGTGTTTCACCAAGCCCTCTTTGCCAAGATCAACGACAACATCCTGACTAAGAAGTTATGACGCCTCTGACACCGTCGTATCTCTGGGATAACTATTTAGTCGATGGGCAGCGCCATCACATGTCATTTATTGGGTAGACTATGGCTGGCATAAAAAGACAATAAATCCTTCAACTATGATTTTTCAACACATTCACTTGAACAGTGAGTTATCGTTTTTGTATTTGAAAATCTCATGAAAATATGCCATGTTTGTATTTAAGGATTTTCCCACTTAAATAAACTGATAATACGCCTTTTTTTCCACATTGTAAAATCGTCGAAGGGATAGGTATTTTGCCACGGCAGGCAAGCCATAGTTTGAAGTGTATTCTTTAGTTTTCAGACCCATATTGCTTTCGAGATAAATTCTGTCTTCAAATGTGTAAAATGAACAGTTTAAAACATGTCTTTTAACCTTTGGAATGTTGAAGTTTTGTCATTTTAAAATTTACTGACGCTTAAAACATTGAACAAAACTTTCAAAGCATTATATTTTTACTAAGAATAATTTAAGGGTGTATTTTTATAAACTATCAAATGAAAATATCCGGGGGGTACCCATCTCAAGAACAAAACTGATTCACCGGTCATGTAATGAAATACTCAGTTATATGTTACAAGTACTTCTATTGTACAATCTACGCAAATTTGGAAGTATATTGCATCTCTTATTTCATCTCTTATTTCATGGTATCATTTTCAATCTTTTTTATTACTAATTCATTTAAATAATTGCATTTTTCTAAATATTAATTTTGTAATAATCCGGTGGTACTGCGAGTCTCGGCTCCTCTTCTCGCCGATAGTATCGATCTCACGAGATACTAGCTAGTAAGCTCTTCGTGAAACGGTTTAGGAAGATCAGAGACATCTCCGTAGTTGGTGGATAAAGTTATGACTGTCTTGTCGTTGGTTTCTAGGAACGAGCCCCTAGAGGTCAATACGCATTGCCATTAGCATTGACTCTCTACATGTAGGGTGTCTGATCGCACACCCGATGTTGTGTGCTAAAATTCTTCCCATAGAGATTACACGCATCCCTATGCAGTCTACGTGCATTGCGCGACCATGCAAAAAAAGTCAATTTTTTTTTTTCAATTCGAGATTCAAACCTTTATCTGTTGTGATCCTGAAGGTGATAATCAATAAATGAGGTGTCATATGAAAGAGCAGGTAAATTCCAATATTTCTAAAGGGGCGTAGCCCCCGAAATTCTAAAAATATCTTGGTCAAAACAGCAATTGAAACATTGTGTCCTGGCTAACTCTGAGGTTTGTCACTTTTGAGATATGACGCCCCGATCGATAAGTAGTCCCAGTCCTAAGGAACAATTCTATGTGCTTATATTTTCGCTAGCCCCCAGGGATCACAACTGATAACAGTTTAAAAATACCCTTCTCGCTATTTGGTGGATCAGCTAATTAGGGGGCGTGCGCTCCGCTCAGTCCAAACCATGGTTACATCGCGTAACATCTCCTCCGCGCACGAACGAAACCCCAAATTCAAGTATGGGTGGCCATTCGCGGCATAGAACCCGGAAGTGAATACACGTTATAGTCAATGGCAATATCGCGGAGACATCTCCGCGATATTGCCATTGACTATAACGTGCATTCACTTCCGGGTTTATTGTGCGACGAACGCCAACCATACTAGTCAATGGCACATGTCGCGGAGACAGCGTAGCTCAAGCTGCAAGTCGCGGATTGGCTTAGCAGCATGCGTACGATATGCATACGCTTGCATATCGCGCGATACAGCTGTTTGGCTAAATTTAGCAAAACAACATCACTCTGCGTAGACGTCTTTTTCGTCGATTTTGACCAAAATGATATGAATATACCAGCGTTTTGGAGGGGCTGTAACTTTTGATAGAAACATCGGTGAGACTTGAAATTTGAAATGTATTATTCTGATAACATCTTTTATTCAAATATCAAACAAAAATGGTGAAAAACAATCCCAAATTGAAAATTGAAAAATCGTTCAGACACCCTAGATCTACTACATGTATGCTTTGCTGGAGTGGTAACGATAGGCCTACCAATTTTGAGTGAAATCAGTTGAGTTTTGTACAGTGGTGTTTGAAATGTTGAGAATCAATAGCACAGCTTTTAATACACAGCCAGGATAGTAATGCACGGTTTATGCACCTATGTGTGTGGTAAACGCAATGTCCACTGAATTATGTGGAATACAAAGTAGGCCTACAATTACAAACACAAAAAGCAACGAATGGGACCGCGATCAAGCAATCTGACTTGATATTACTGCTGGTTAACATGTTCTCGTATAGTATAAATTACTTAAAAGAATGTCAAATCTGAATTTCGTTTGAATGAGACCATTATTAGCTTACTCTTTGCCTCAGATGACCCAAGATTCTTGACTTTCCCAGCCGAATCTGCTGTAAAGTGGCATTCATGTAAGCTGCCATGTTGGATTTTTGTGTGATCTCGATCGTCTGATCACGTGATGGTGTACTCCAGTTATGCATGCCTCGCCCCCCCCCCCCCAAACACCCATGATTTTTTTTCTTTTCGTTGGGCTCCCTGTCAGAGGTGGCGCTACGGGGGGAGCAGCGAGTCATAGTACCCTCATCCCCTCCCAGTTTTTCAAGTACCCCAAAATTATGTGTCTTTTTTTACAGGAAAAGTGCCCCCTATTTTACTTTCGACAAGTTCTCCTTTTTGTTTGTGATAAGTGCCCGTTCCACATGCTTATAATAGTGGCCCTTACCACATCTGATAAGTGTCCCTATTCAAATCTGAGAGGTGCCCCTTTCACTTTGACAAGTGTCCCTTTTCCTTTTTAAGAAGTGTCGATTCCCCTTCAATAAGTGCCCCCATTATGATACCCTCTTATTTTGACACGTACCCCTATTCCTATTAATAAGAGCCCATTTTCCTTGTGATTATTGCGCCAATTATTATTGTTAATATAGAGCCCTTATTTCCCCCTTCTCATAAATGCCCCTTTTCCTTCGACAATTGCCCCTTTTCCTTTGCAAAAGTGTCCCTTATAATTATCAATTCTTATAAGTGCCCCTTTTTTTATTTCTAATGAGTGCCCTCTTTTCACATCTGATAAGTGCACCCTTTTATTTGGCACCGTTTTTTGTTCTTCGTCTCTGGTGAATGCCGCTGTTCAGGTACATGCGAGAAGTGCCCCTTTTTCACATCTAACAATTGCCCTTTTTTTACTTTGACATATGTGCTCCTTAACTTTTCCAATACAAAGAGGGAGCCCAATTCGTGAGAAAATATTTAGCTGCGAAAGAACCAGCCGGTGAATAAGCGTGGGGGGGGGGGGTAAGGAGCACTAATATTTTTTGTTTTGCTTTTTGCCCCGGAAAATTTGAAAATCGCGTCGGCCGATATTTCGCTCAGAGGTGGAGGGGGTAGTGAGCACAATTATTTTTGCTTTTTGCCTTTTGCCCCCGAAAATTGATATCCCCCCCCCCCTCTCTCTCTCTCTCTCTCTCTCTCTTCCTTTCTCTTTGACTCTCTTATTGAATACTGTTCGCTTTTAAATGTCGTGTCTATCTAAATATTTGTGTACTCCCGTTCCTTATGCTATGGTCACATTACCCAAAAGTAGCCTGCTCGGCGGCCGAGCGGCGAGTTTTTAACCAATTCTGCCCGGCGGCTGCCCGGCCACCGAGCGGCGGCCGTCCAGGCATCGCTCGTTTTTAGGGGATCGCTCGGTCGCCGCTGAAGTTTTAGCGCGGAGTTAAAATTTGGGCGGCGCCTGCTCACTTTTCACTCGCCGCCCAAAATACGCTCGGTGCCTGGGCGGTCGCCGCCCGGGCACCGACTTAATTGCTGGGCGATGCCTAAATTCCAGCAGCGACCGAGCAGGCTACTGATCGGTCGGTCGCTGCTCAGATTTGTGACCATAGCTTAACTAAATAATCCAGGCTCAAATTTTAGTTTCAATTTGCTAATTAAGGCATATTTGTATTTGTCTTAGGTTAACGGAAATTGTATAGGGATATGAAATTCTGTTTTATACGGTGTTCTCGTCCCGTTTTCTCTGATGTTGTGCATCACTCGCAGTATACATGATGGAGTCAGTTTAATTGAATGGCAAAATAGGGGAAAGGAGTGAAAGAACGGAAAGAGAAAGAACGATAGAGAAAGAAATTGAGAGGCGAAAAAAAAGACTAGAGGAGATCAAAAAACTCCACAGGCTCCCAAATATATCCTTCAAAAATTATTGCGGTACTACCAGTACCAGTTAATTTGCCCTTTCAACCACCTCCGGTGTTTCCACATCCCCATACCGGTTTCCATAAATTTTGGACATTTTTTGTGCATGCCAACATGGAGTTATTATTAAACTCCATGATGCCAATTATGGAATATCACACATCTGTGAATGAACACATGACGTCACTACTATTCAAATAACGAATCGACAGTCAAGGACTAATAACATCCTTATTTCAAAATGAGTAAAAACAAAAAGAGAAGGGCTAATCGTTTGAATTTCGACATAAATCATTGCAACTTAATAATTATAGTAGCTACATAGCTTGTGTTAAACGCATTTGGTAACCGCAACAAAAAATAGATTTTACGGTAGGCTGATCATTCACACTAGGAACGTTTTTTGTTATTTTGGGTGAACCTAGAGGTTCCGGTCTTTGTGGTCAATCTTCTGCTTCCGAGTACTGCGTGCATTGCCACCAGTCACGCGAGAAAAGTTGTGCCTGTTATTCCTTTAGACCTCTTTTTCCCCTTTCACCAATATTTTTTTCTCCATATTTGTATTATTAAGTATACATTGAGGGTTGTCATGCTATCAAGCTTTGCTTACTTTGTCAACCCTTCTGTTTGATTTTTTCGATTAGTGACAGCATGGAGATACTCTCTTATATCTCCATGGTTACAGCCGGCCTTACTCTATTCTACATTTATTCTTTTGTCATGTGTAAAATTTGCAATGTTTTGAATCTTGTTATATATTTGTAAAACTGCAAAAGAAAAAGAAAATCAAACAGTAATAAATAAATCAAATCAAATCAAATCAAACCTAAGATCATTATTGCGTATATATAGGAGAGGGGCACGCGCATAGGACGCTGCACTATAGGAGGGGCGTGCAATTAAAGAGGAGAGAGAAATAGAAGAGACGGTATAGTTCCTAAAGGATTATGAATTATGCTGAGTAAAGTCTATATTTAAATGCGAAACTCCTCTTAAGCTCGGTCACTTTGGTCCCGCGCACATAGTTCTTAAAGATGCTGCAATACTGATTTTGAGATTAATCTGTCCTTCAACGTACCAGAAATGTTATTATTCATTGATACTCGCTGCTGGATGGATATGAAAAGGGGTACCCCACCCCCTCCTACCACATACACACATGCATACCCTGACTTCATTTCTTACTTCTTCTTCTTTTTTTTTCTTTTTGGAGGGGGGGGGGGGCAAAAGTTGGTCATCTAACCTGCTAAATCTTGATTTTAAGAACTAGGCCTATCACTCCACCCTGAAAATAGTCGAAAGATGCCCTCAGACTTCGTTTGTGGGTGTGCACCAGACAAGCTGGACAATTATTGACTAGTAATGAAGAAGATAATGAAGAATTAAAATCAAATACATTTTATAGGTAAAAGCAATGAAAGTTGGATATCCATTTTACATTGAAGATTCAGCCGACACTTTTGCTTCCGTACAATCATTTTATAGCAAACCTTTACAGCGTTAATTTGTTATGATGGGTATTCAGAAAGATAAACAAAATATTAATTTAGATTCTGTTGAACTGTACCGGGAATATAAAAAAAATTGTATCCGCCCTTATTCTCATTCTTTTCTCTTTTTTTGCTTAAAATGCAGGACCGGAAAAATATTTTCCTGGTTTGTTTCATTGACCGATTCTGAACCGGTGAGGTTTTATCAATTCTAGTTGTTTCATTCGAACATGATGCCGGTAATTATAGAATAGCGTGCAAACAGATTACGGAAGTAAAACTTCTTCCTGTGTCATATATTTGATCGTTGGTTGGTATACGGATCGAATGAACCTACTAGATTTTCTCTTTCTCTCACTTCCCCTTATTATGGCCTCTCTAATCTCCTTTTCTTCATATTTCTTCAAACTAAGCTATACAAAATGTGCACACCTCTTCATTTGACGTTTGTATAGTGTTACATCCGATATTGGCTTTTTTTTTTTAATTTTTTAAAAGTTGAATTATGGCGGCGTGTATCATTAAATAACTTGAAATTTCATTTATTCAGGATCTTCTTGAGATCCCTTAATTCTCTTTATTTTTTTTTTAATTTATGACTATGGTTTTACTGAACAATTAAGTTTTTTGAAATGAAATGAAGAAAGATAAAGTATCGCTATTTTTGAAATGGTGTCAGACATGTCAGAAAAAAAGCTGAACCCTTTAAAATTCTGTTGCAAAGAAGTATAAAAAAAAAATTAAACAAAAAAGAGAGAAAATGCAAAGAAAAAGGACAAATTCTGTTACGCTTCACACACACACAGACACACACACACTCTCTCTCTCTCTCTCTCTCTCTCTCCCTCTCTCCCTTTCCAGTAGGATGCGACCGTCATTGTTGGTCAAACAGTTTTTGAGCGTCATGTAACGCCTGGCTGGAATGCTCCACAGGGAGTTGAGATTGTGCACACAGTGTGTGCGGGCAAGCACTGAATCCAATGACCGGGGTATTTTGTAAAGCGCTTATAGAGACATTAATGTAATAAGCGCTGTATAAAAATTAAATATTATTTTTATGATTATTTCTCCTTTTCTCCTTTTCTCCTCTCTTACCATTACCATTTCCGCCCTACCTTCCCCTTTCTTATGTCTCCATGTTTGTTTGTCTGTCTGGTGCTCTACCTATCTCCCTGTGTGTCTGTGCTGTGTCTGCTTGTGTATATTTCTCCAAGTCTCTATATGAGAGTGTGGGTGTATGTGTGTGTGAGAGAGAAAAAGAGAGAGAGATAGAGAGAGAGAGAGAGAGAGAGAGAGCGAGAGAGAGAGAGAGAGAGAGAGAGAGAGAGAGAGAAAAGGGTGATGATGACAGAGAGTTTATAGTTAGACACCCTAATATTAAGTTGGTTTTAATAGAAGCAGAAAATAAGAGGAACAAGGTAGGTGAAAGTTTTAGGAAATTCCGATTTAAAAAAAAGTTATGCACTTTTCAAAAACAGTCGTTTTCTTAACATTTTTTTAGTACAGAGCAAATGGGAGAGGAGCTAAATATAGCAAGATACATCACCGAGTTGACAGGATATTACTCACCGTTGTTCCTGTCACATTTTCAAATAGATCGAGGCAAGCGATCGAGACATGCGTGGAAATTGGCATCAATTTTGTCTATGTTAATGTACTTTTTGTAACCACTAGTGGAATTCCACCTATCACGAGAGTGTGGTCTTTCACATTAAACGAATTTAGCAGGATATTGATGGGGTGCATGAACTTACATAAATGTAAGT